CAACGATAGCCGCCATTAATAGCCGTTTGTTATCGTATTTAACACTCAATGCTATCTTACGGCAGATCTCCAGAAATTTGTGTTTCAAGTAATAGGATGTCGTAAACCACTCAAGAAAACCGACCAGGCATATCGCAACATCTGGAATCATCGTTATCAGTATATTAACATCAAATATGACCATGATCAATAATTTTAAATAAGAGGGCCTTTCAGTATATGCTTTATAAGACTCCATAGCGTTTAGTAGAGTGAACGACAAAACTAATATGATATACGAGGGTTTAATATTATATTCAAATAATTTGTGTATTATTCGTACTAGCTTATTAAATCTGTTATGGTCTATGGGACGTATTAATTTATTAAATTTTAATTGATAAATCCAGTTAGCCAAATACATAGTTTTTGAATAATACTAATAATTTGTAACCATGCTAATTAATAAAAGCGCAAAGTATGTAGCCGAAATTGATATGTATATAATTGACCTCACTTTAACATGATGCCAATCCACTAATAAATCCAAAATCGTGGTATTTGTAATTATTGCACACATAACAAATCGTAGTATATTTATCAACATTGATACCCAGGTCATTATGACAACAATGGTCCGCCTACGGCTTGGAATATATCCCAACACGTATTCGTCAAAATTTTTATATGGGACTTCAAATGTACGCCTCTTAAGGGCCTCCCATTTCTGGATTTCATGCTTAATGCTGGGACCCATTTGGGAACTATGTTTCCATTGTTGTAAACGCCGTTTAAAATCCATTTTCAAAATTAAATTAAATATATTTAGAAGATTCAAAAATAGTTTTATATGTTTATTTTTATTAAATAAGTAAATGTATCTATGGATACAATAATGTTTTAGCTATTAAACATTAAAAATATTATTTCATAAATACATTGTTGAGCAATTCATATTAGTACAGTAGTTCACGTGAATTGCATATATTCCAAATATAAATGCTATTAGATAACGATCAATAACAAATCTCATGTTTAATGGCATTGATTTATTTCAACATAATTATATCTATTTTGATATTAATGTATACATTTACAACTATTTTACTCAGTTTACTTATATTTTTAAAAATTATATGATAGGCATTATTACAATCATTAATCATAAGATTTACGGCAAACTATATTCAAACATTTAAAACAATGACATAATCAAGAAATAATTAGCACCAGAGATATATAAGTATTGAAACAACTCATAGCTATTCATAGGAAACGAATCATAGCAATAGTAACCGATTGCCGGTTCGGACAGGCGTTCAATAAAATTCATTACATTTAGTCTATCCATCGCTGATAGCCCTCGTCTACGGCTATACATATACGACAATACCAGTGCGTATGGCTTATGGGCAGCCGTTGAGATCCAGGTGCTCATAACGTTCATGTATGCAATCATAATGAATGAAAATATGATAGCAACCCATATTATAATTCGTGTGCTTAACTCGGAATCACTGTGGTGAGTTAAGTGCACATATAATTGCATCCCGATAGTCGACACATAATACCCGGGTGGGCGCGTGAGGTTGTAATATTATGGGGTTACCATATATTATTTTTATTTTACCCAATTTTTATATTTCTAGTAAATATTTAATTTTAAAATATAATATTATTATTATACTGTGATAATTGTGCGCTATCATAAATATTTTTATATTTATCATTAGCATTATACATTATTATAATGATTAAATAATATATAAAATAAAATTATAAAATATTTATTATGAAATGCAAATAACATGGCAACAATAAATTCAATAAATTAGTTTACTCACACATTTAATCAAAAATTACTTTTATTTATCATAACAAATAAAATCAATTTGTAATATAAGTTTTCAAACAATCATACACTAATAATAAATATTATTATTATTATTATAAAACAACAAAAATCATAATATTTGACACATTTTTTTATCTCATAAATAATTTCATTATATATTACAAAAGGAATGCTAAATATATTTATGTTAAGAATATTCTGTAATAATAATGAAGAATATATTCTTTTTATAAATTCCTTTATTTATTTATTCAATAAGTTTTATTATATATAATCATTTGTAATATAAAAAGTTTTATTCATTTTCAATATAATATAATAATCATAATTACATTAAAAAACAAACAAAAAATGCTAACAATTCTCGCACTAATAGAAAAAATCTCACATTTTTCATATACAAATACATACACAGAATATACAGAATATTCTGCGGATTCTTATCTCAACTGATAGTCATAATCGTAATCAAAGTTATCTCTCGACTGACTATAGCTATAATGTCGTAACCTCTGACCCGTGCCCGTGTGGGGCCGGGAGTTCACCTCCTGATACACCGGCCCTCCCAGTGTGGGAGGGGGTGGCGGTCTGGGCGGCGGTATATTATAATGAATGGTATTGTGTTTAGGTGGCGGTGCGTAATGTAGGGGTCGCTCATAAAAGTGGTGCTCAACCGACTCGGTGCTGGAGGTCATGGGTGTGGCTGGAGATACCTCTCCCTCCTCGTCGTCCAAATCGCTCCGGTAGTCGTCTGAACACAATAGGGGACTGCCATCGGGCTGGGAGGTGGTGGACAGTTGTACGCATTGGGACATGGATGATGAAATTAGCGGTGATTTCTGTGGTGTGTATATATTGGCACCGGTATTGTGGTGGTAGTCCATGTCGTGGATGGATAGGGCGGTGCACCGGCCGTTACGCCTATATAAGTCGTGTAAATACGGGAATACATGTTAAGAATATTCTTGTAATTAATTTAATGAGACATTAGTTTTTGTATATAAAGTCATTGAAACTAATTGTGTCTATAATTATGGTGTGTGTATAATGGGAACGGGATGTCTGTAATAAGCACTGGTATGTCATTCGCACTGCTATTCTACAGTATATTTCAAATATTATTAAAAACTTTTTACAAAAGTATTTCTGAATTGTTTTTAAAGACAATGAATAAAAACTTTTCGCAAGTTTTATAATGATTTATAAGTGGAAAGGGATCTGAAAACTAAAGACCTCTGATTATACTATAGCCTACTTTCAGTGGGAAAAAAGTGAAGGGGATTGGGAGGAAAGTTAGCGTAAGGAATACCAATGGGTATACAAAAATAGCTCAGAGAGAGAGAGAGAGAGAGAGAGAGAGACTCCGAAAGACTTTTATACAGAAAAATCACAGAATATTCTGTTAATTCTGTCAATACTATACATTCACCAGAAACTGTCGTTCCCTAAAACTTGACTACCAGTGCGATAGCGCCAGGAAATGGCAATAAATAATTAGAGCCCATAAGTCACACACACAGACAGCACATCCAGCTTCAGAGGACTGGTAGGTTAAGCCAACCGTTCACTACTCACATCGATCTCTCCTCCAGAATCGGCAACTGATTAATTAAGGCAAACGACGCCGACTTTTGCCTACCGGTGCCGCTATTACTGTGTACGGAGCTAATGGTGCTCGAGTTGGTCGTCGAGAACCGGTTGAAGGGTTGAGTCGACGCGTATTGGGACAGACCGTTGGCGCCGGCAACCAGAGCGCCGGCACCGCCGTTGAGGTCCGGTAGGCGGCCGTGGAGTCCGCCGTTGAGGCCGTGGGGAAGCCGTTTGAGACGCCGTTTGGCGCCGCATATGACGAGTATTACGAGACTCGAGGCGATTAGGAAAACGACTGCCCCGGCACAGGCGGCTACTATTATAAGGTTTTCATCGGCTAACAGGGTCTGTACCCAACCTGACGGTGCTGTAATGAGGGAAAGGGATCAAATATATTGGTTAGTGTTAGTGATTAATTTTGTTTGATGTAATATGAATAGTTGATTATTTAATGTTTATATTTTAATGTATGATGGTGTTTTTAGTTTTAAAAATGTATATTTTTTCAAGTATTATTTGAAACTGTAAATAAAATATAATCGAGATAAATTGTGTTTTATAAATGATCTGATTTTTAAATAAATTGGGATCATCTGGCCTGGATCAACTACCTTTTTTATAAATTATTTTCAAACTAATTAATGTTAATTAAAATTTTATATTTTATTGTATGTTTTCATTTTAGCACAATTTCACATAACATTAATTACGATTTTAAATTGTTTTATTTCAAACTGTAATTGCATTTTAATCGTAGATTTGTTCAATTTATAAAAATTAATGTTTTTAATTTATTTGGACAATGTCTGAACTAAAATTTTTATATTTTAAAGCAAACCATAAATATAAAATTTCTCAAATAATATATTTTATAGCAATATTTATATTATTAGTTATGGGTATTTGGCTATTACGCCATTTAAATTTTAAATATAATCATGTGTGTTCAAAACTGATTATAATAATTATAATTGTGCTATTTTATTTTTCAATCTACAGTTTTCATTTCTATTTAATATTATTTAAAACAAATCAAATCAAGACTACTATTATCAGGTTTTCATCGGGTAACAAGGTCTGTACCCAACCTGACGGTGCTGTGAAAGAAAAGGGATCAAAATAAATGGATAGTGTTAGTGAATAATTTTGTATGTAGGTTAGGTTAGGTAAGGTGGCATATGTTAGTTAGAAATTTTATGTTTATATTTTAATGTATGATGGAGTTTTGAGTTTATAAAATCTATAACTATTTTTCAAAGATTATTTGAAACTGTAATCAAAATATAATGAAGATTTATTATGTTTTATAAATAATATAATTTTAAAATTATTGGTTGGCGTATATCACCGGTTGCATTTTATATACTATGTAATATTTTTATTCACAAAATAATTTAAGTGTATATATTTTATTTTAGTGTACTGTATGTTTTCACCTTCAATAAAAATTTTCATTTCAAATAATCACAAACTTTAACTATAAAAAATCCTTGATAATACAATTTATAGCAACATTTATAATATTAATCATCGGAATCTAATATACCTATTATTGTCATTTATATTTTTAATATTATTAATTTGATATAAAAAAAACTAACTAACTATAACTTTGTCATTTTATTTTTAACTTTAAATTTCATTTCGAATCACTTTAATGCTAAATATTTGAAATATAAAGTTGCATAATAAATTTAAAATTAAAACATACATTATAAATTATGTACTATGCTCAATAATATACTGTATGAATCCCTAAAAACAACTGTACATGCTAATATAATCTAAATCCATACATACCACTGGCAATCTGTTGGACATGTAGCTTACAGGGCTGGGATGCGCCAATCTGGTTCGTGGCGATACAGTAATAACTTTCCACATCATTATCCGCGAGCACCAGTACAGTCGACTGTTTGCTGCCTACCAGTGCCGCCCCTACATCACCACCACCATCAGCCCCTGTACCCATGGTGCTGGCCACCTCGCTCACTGTCCTATTACCTTTGTACCAGGTGAAATTGATCACAGACGGATTGGACTGGGCCTCACACGACAAAACCTGCCGGCCCTCAAATGAGTACTCCCGCTTCATTTGGCATTCCGGTCGATCTATGGTATAAATAATATATAACATATCGGGGACAGTTAGTTCATTAATCACATGGTGGTTTCATTAGTGTATAGTTCGCTAAACACGTGTATCTAGTTTTTTGTGCTAGTTTGCTATGTAGGGTATAGACATGTCAGTATCATTAGTGATGGTGTATATAGTGTACCGCCTTATACTGGTAGAGTATTAATTGAGCTAGCTAATGAATTATTTTTAAAGTTTATTTTTATTGGTTTTATTAATTTTTGTATTGCCATTAATCGTTTACTAATTGTAAGTGCAAACTTAATTATATATTTATAAGTTTTATACGCAAATATTTTAAGTTTTAATTTTGCTTTAAATATTATTTTTTAAAACTA